TGAAATCAGGGGCACTGAGGTTTGAGGAGGGGTTGGACCTCAGACAGGTACAATGCCATAGACTCCACTCTCCCAACCAGCCATTCCCTCCTGGGGAACCATTGTTGCCAATCTCCAGGTGAGGGGTGGAGATCACTCAGAATTACAACATTGTAATTTTAAAATATCTCTCATGCAGCAATCTCCGGGAGGGGGGAGGAGATGAAAAGCTGAAATCAGGGGCACTGAGGTTTGAGGAGGGGTTGGACCTCAGACAGGTACAATGCCATAGACTCCACCATCCAAACCAGCCATTTCCTGGGTAAATTGTTGCCAATCTCCAGGTGAGGGCTGGAGATTACTCAAAATTACAACTGCTCTTCAAGTAGCAGATATCAGTTCCTCAGGAGAAAATGGTGGACAATGTGTCATTATACCCTGCTGAGATCGCCACAGCAAATTGAAGCTGAGTGTAGAAGGTCTTGGCACTTTCCCAGAGCCTCTTTCTAGAGCTTTTTGTATTTATTTCCACAACCGGCCTTATTCCTAGTAAATAAATAGAACTACAAAGGAAGTGTCCTTTAGAGCGTATATTTAATACTAGTAAGAACAGACACAGAAGCAGTACCTCTTAAAGAGGTATTTCTCAATCCCAACAATGTCCTCATCTGCCAGAAACAACATATGAAGAATTAACTGAACCCTGACAAGACAGAGGTGGTGCCGGTTGGGAAGGTTGAGGCCTTGAAAGACATTGCACTTCCCATATTTGACCCCTGCTGACTCAATTAAAAGTCTAGAATTTATACTGGACCCAGCATTATTGCTGGTCAAGCAAGTTAATTCAGCTGCAAAGAAAAAAAAAGCTTCCTCTCATCTTCACTTAGCCCTAAGGACGGAGCTTTACCCTGACCTGGCCCTATAATTTTTTATTTATTTATTTATTTATTTATTTAGGTATTTTTACCCCGCCCTCCCCGCAAGCGGGCTCAGGGTGGCTTACAGAGGGCGACAGCCCATACATAAAATCCATAAAACAATAAAAACATAGCAGCAATCATATATAACAATAAATAAATAAGTGTTTCACAGCAAGATGGTCTTTGGTGATGGCGGCGTCTCCGGTCTTCAGTCGGCCCCGTTGGGGTACCACTCTCCAGGAGATTTTAATGTCACATGGGGAAGCTGTATTTCCCAGGGTAATCCAGGTCCAATTGGAATTACCACCGTTGGTGGTGGTGGTAATAGCGGCGGCCCCTATGTAAAAGCCTGGTGGAAGAGCTCCGTCTTGCAGGCCCTGTGGAACTGCATAAGGTCCCGCAGGGCCCTGATCTCTTCCGGGAGCTCATTCCACCAGGTAGGGGCCGCCACTGAAAAGGACCTGGCCCTGGTCAACGCGGGTTTTACCTCCCGGGGACCCGGCACTACCAAGCGGTTCTGGGTCCCCGACCAAAGTGCTCTTGGGGGTATATGTGGGGAAAGGCGGTCCCTCAGGTAGGTCGAACCCTGGCCATGTAGGGCTTTAAAGGTAAGTACCAGCACTTTGAAGCGGATTCGGTATGCTATTGGCAGCCAGTGCAGCGCCTTCAGCCCAGGCCGGATGTGCTCCCATTTAGGGAGGCCCATCATCAACCTGGCCGCCGCTGGAAGATGGAGCCTTACCCTGATCTGGCCATATAAATCCATGCTGCAGTAAACTCAGAGCTACTCTATAATGGTCTGTCTATGAGGACAACTTGGAAACTACAGCTGGTAAAAAAAACTCCGTGGTTTTGAGGAGAGCAGGCAAGATGCTGGAGGAGGATGACAGCTAGCTAATATGCTCTGCAAGTTTTAAAACAATTACTTATTTTTACTGTTTAAAGACACTTGAAGTGGCTGGATATATCTGTTTTATTATTATCAGAGACATGAAGAGGAAAACTTTATCTGGCTTATAATTCTCTGGCTTTAACTCATATGAAGAATATATACTTTTCAGTATTAAAAGGGCTTAAGAAATGGAGAAAAAGAATACTGCATGAATACTTTTTAAAAATATGTCATCCTCTTAGGACTGAATGAGCCACCTGCTCATTTTTTCTTCAAGCCAATAGTAATGTTTCTGCCTTGTCCCCAGAAAACTTGAATCACCCCTCCCGACATCTAGTTGAAATATCTCTCATGCAGCAATTAGAAGAGGGTGTACTACTATCATTCCTTAGTCATAGAAATATCACCTTTACAGAGCACAGGCACACAAACGTTTCTCTCTCTCCTTCTCACTCACTCAATTGCCACTTTGTATTTCCACTCCCTTACCTTGGACCCCAATTCATATTTTTATTATGAGGTAAAACTGTGGACCGTGTCTCTTCCCTAGACCATTTCCATGCCAACTGTATTGACTGGCTCTAGCTTAATTGCAGGGGAAATGCCACCATGTATTTTTTTTAATTTAAATTGTAGATAATGATCCATCAATGATTATTATCAGTATCTATATTAGTGAGACATACCCATTCGATTGGGAAAGATTAAAATACTCCCAGAATTTTCGTTAGCGCAACAGCTTGACAATTCTTGAAAGCATTAGGAAAACATATTAATAGAGTCACTGTCAGTCTTCACTCCTTCAGTCATGATTCATTTTGTGAAAATATAGAGTTCATTCCAGTAAGCCAGAAAGCAATGAACAGAAGTGTCACAGAAGAAAAAACGAATACCAGTATCTGCCTGAATGCATCTTTCTTTTTTTCCCAAAGAAGAAAAACCTTTTCCCCAGACAAAGAGAAAACCAAACAACCCATAATGGAAAATTTGCTGCCTCCAAACCACTTCCACATTTTCTTGTTTACAACTTTAACTAGTCTGTTATTTCCAAACAGAAAAATGTAAAATGTTCTTGGGGGGAAGAGCTTTATTTTCCACCAATTAAACTGCAACTTAGCTGTTATTTTTGGAAGGTGTTTGATGATTTGACATGGGAGATCAGAGGGGAATGGAACACTGGGATATTTTCATCAGCAGGCACCCATGTTGTCTGCTGACTACGTGACCTCTGTAGGCAAGGCAAGTCATGCTGTAAATAAAGCTAAACAAATGGCAGTCGCATCTGAAAATTATTTTATAAAACACCACAAACCAGAGGGAAACAAACCTACAATATGCACTACTGCTTATTGCTGGATTTAGAACTACCATTGCTGTGTAGAAGTGCCCCAAGTATTTGGCGTTATGGAAATGCCAGTGACAGATAATGTTACATACAATCACTCCCTACACATTGAGCACAATTTAGGAATAAAAGACTTGGGAAATGTGAACAAGTGAGAGTGTCTTGGCTCAAAGCAGCTACGGAAAGAGAGAGATTCAGACTGGGGTCATGCTGCAAGGGCACCCTTTATGCTTCATGCCATTGACGGGCAACTAGATTCAATACATATGCCACATCATTAAACAGTGGAACTCACTGCCACACTATGTCGTGGAATCCACCGGCTTCAATGGCTTTAAAAGAGGATTAAAATACGATATTCACAGAAGATAGGGTTATGGCTATTAACATAATGGCTAAGTGGAACTGCTATGTACAGAGGCAATATATCTTGAAGTACCAGTGGCTAGGATGGCATCATCAACAACAGTTTTGTTTTGGTGTCCCTGTTTGTGGAATTTCCATGGTTTGTGGAAAACAGAATGCTGGGTAGGATGGACCTGGGGGTGGTGAAGTTGGAAAGAGCAACCTGCCACCCCATCTCTCAGTACCACGACCCCCAATCTCGATCATCTTCTCGCTGCCCCAGTTACTCTTAAAAAAAAAAATTAAATGTGGGAGACGATCTCCAGCATCACATCTAGAGTTTGGCTCTTACTGCTGAAGTTTTCGAGAATCACAGGAAGATAAGCAAATTTGATTAATTCTGATAGCAAATCCAAATTACATATCAATAAATTTTGTATATAGAAAGAATATGGGGCATTTCAGCTACTCAAATAGCAACACTGTCTGCCTTCTTTATTCCAATGCAAACTGAGACACAGCACATGTGTCAGTGTGTGTGTGGTGGGGAAGGGGTTAACTTCCAAAATAACTAGTTGGATTTTCCTGTAGCAATTCATATAATAAATGCCAGCAATTACTGAGGATCTGAGACAGACTATTTGGATATGAATAAAAGTACCATATTGTCCATGTACAAAAAACACAGACAGCTTAGGCCTGCTAGGTTTGTTGTGCCCTGCAGGCTAGTACTTATGTAAAAGGCTTTCACTGACAACAGCAAGTGACATTCCACATTCGTTCAGAAATCTAAGGGCAAAACAGCATTGCTTTCCCAAGTCAAATGCATACTCAAATTGAACCAAATTGAAAGTGCAGTTTTAATTTAGAGATAAAAGTTTACTGATTTTCATCAAAGAAATGGTACCACATCTTTTAATTATGGCACGAGTATCAATTTATATTTAGCAGAAATCAGGAGGAGAATTTCCTCAGTTCTACACAGCTGGGTTGCAGTAAAAGCGCTCTTCTTAGCCTGCTGCATCTTTGTTTGAATTATGGTGGTCAACATCTTTAAAGCTGAGCATTCATACCTTTAATAGTTGTGTACATCAGGAAATTTTAGCAGCTGCACGTTGTCCATCTTGGCAGATCAACATGCTGTAGGAAGGGGAAGAGGTACAAACTTCCCCATGTCTGTTCAAGCAGTAGGATAGCATATTTTAAATAGACTGGTCAGCCTGATTTAATGAAGGCAAATCAGTCATAACCATAAGAGATGAGGCAAACATGAAAACCTGTGTAAGTGATCTGGAAAAGTATGAGAGAAAGGAAAAGCAAGCGCAACTCTGCCTAGTTACCTGAATGAAAGCAGTGAGAAAGTTCTTTAAAACCAGTTTTAAACACACACAAACACACACGTATTCATTACCTATATAAATGTAAGATGTGTGTGTACTCATTATATATCTTATGAACTTAGTAATAACTGTATCAAAATTGGCCTGATTCCACAGATGGTATATGACATGATGCTTGCCTGAATGCAATGAAGTTCTACCTATCCGGATGGACAACTCGTTTTCATACTCCTCCTGGTGGTGGATGGGTTGGTGCTCATACTTCTCTTTCACCACTCTTGAATCGTAGTCCAAAGCCAGTGCTGTGTATGGAGCTTCACTGATACCCTAGAACAAAGAAAAACATAATAATTCTCATGCTTATCTATCTATCTAATGGCTGAAAACTATGTGGTATTCTTCAGTGCCTTGAAAGACATTTAATAAATAACAGTGTGTCATGTTATCATTGGTTGCTCTGTTGTCAGTGCACACAGTTTTATTGACACAGACACTGCAAGAAAATTACATGGAGCTGGGATCTCTGGCACTGTTACATGTGTGATGACAACTACAACTATGCAGGAGGCTCAGAAAAAGTCAATAGATTATATGCCCTATACACATCACCTCAACACATTGTACGTGTCTGGGATTTAATTATTAGAACTGGAATACTACAGTTTCTTCTCTATAGACTCTCTAATTAAATTGGTTTATTTTACATGTTTGTTGTATTCTGTGCTTGAGACCATTGGTCATGTGAGCTAAATAAATTGATTGATTGATTGATAGTTAAATTGGTGGGGAAACAAAAAAGGACCAATAGGACATGTTTTAGACCCAGAGAGAACTAAGGAACTAAATGATGTATTCGATATTTACTATCACACATATTATATAGGAGGAGTGTCAAGACCACAACAAAGCTTGGCTGTTAACCAGAAAGACATCAGGCAGCAAGTACAGCTGCACACCACTGCATATTTACTGCAAAAGTAGAGAAATATATCAGAGTAGCAATAGTCCAAAGTAGAAGAAGAAGAAGAGAAGAGGAGATTGGATTTATACCCCGCCCTTCACTACCCAAAGGTGTCTCAGAGCGGTTTACAAACTCCTTTCCCTTCCCCTCCCCACAACAGACACCCTGTGAGGTGGGTGGGGCTGAGAGAACTCTGACACAAACTGCTCTTTTTCAAGGACAGCTGTGCCAGAGCTTGTGACTGACCCAAGGTCACATCATCAGGTGCAAGCAGAGGAGTGGGGAATCAAACCCGGTTCTCTCAGATTAGAGTCCGCACACTTAACCACTACACCAAACTGGCTCTCCTTATTGCTGGATTCCAGGTGAGTATTCCCTGACCTATATTAAAACCTTGTCTTTGTTGAATGGACCTATTCAGGTGCCTGCCTGAGTACTCTAAGCTGGGAACCCACATTACACTGGAGAGCCACTGCCACTCAGAGTAGAGCAGGGAAGTTTATCATATAGATACAAGGCATATAGCTTTCCCACAACTGGATTAATGTGCTTAATGTGAATGGTGAAATTTTTAAAGGAGATTTTTTTTCTGAAGATACAGTAAGAAAGAGCAAATGTGTAAATCTGATAATATGTTCTTATTAAATGAGATACAGGGGGGAAACTAAACACTGTAACTGAATTATTTTTTAAAGACAATGCAGTGATGGAAACTTCAGCAGTCCAGAGACTCCCAACTAACTTATAGCTTCCTTAACAGAGCAATTAGCAATGCAGGGAAGTAACTCTTACTTTCTGCTATCTGCTGACTAGTTCAAAGTAGATTAGTTTTAAAATGACTAAAACGAATTTGTTTAAAAAAAAACAAAGCCCATTGGAAGGTCAAGACAGAAGGAAAACTAATGTGTCCCTTATCAGATAAGTACTAATTAACATCATGAGTACTAATTAAAATAAACAGAACTACTAAAACTATCCACTGGTCAGGTGCCATCTTTTTTCTCTGGCTCTCATACTCTGTATCCATTAGCTAACAGGGCATGTTCCCTACTTGTGTGTGGTATAGTGCCTGATTACAGGGTTCCAGCTGCTCATTTCTTGCACCTCAAATCCCCCAAATCCACAGGGCTTTTATGCTCACAAGGCTAAATGTTCAGCAGTCCAGTAAGAAACTCTTTAATTAGCCCTCTTTTACACAAGTTTAAAGGCCATTCAACTGGCTAGTTTTATATGTTCTATCTGACCAGAACCTTCATATCACTAATCAAATAGCTAGGTAGGAATGCAATCCCCTTATTTTGGGTTGCTTGGTGCAGGGGTTTGGCCTGGGCACTGAATTTCTTTTTGAGTGCAGGGCATACCTTTTTTTAAAAAAAATATGTTTCTCATTTATGTTACATTTAAGAAGTGGGACATATATGTATTCAAAACAAAATCCGAGCAATCAGATATTAAGCAAGCTCATATGAACCAATTTTCCAGAACCCGTGTTGTGAGAAGTTAAATAACTTGATACAGGAAACCACTTTTCTACAAATTTGGGGTATATTTCAATAGTGGGTGGGAGTGTGGCTAAAGGGCGGCCTCCCTGATCAATTAAAATACCCTGGCCCTGCTCCTGCACCTGACAAACACCCACCTGTTTGGTATGAGGGGGGGATTGTGTTTAAAGGCATCAGGGAGACTTGGCCAGCAGCACCGCTAACGCAATCCTGCAAGGAAAGCCTCTCTTCTCTGATGGCTTTAACGACTCTGCACCCCTTCCAACCCTTGACAGGCGGTTGTCTGTCAGGTGTAGGAGGGGTAGCGTGTCTGAAGGCATTGGGGAGGTTAGACTAGCAGGATTGCTAAGGTGATGCTGCTTGGGTACTCTCCCTGATGGCTTTCAATGCTCTGGTGTTGGGGGGGGGAGGATATGTTTAAAGACATCGGGGAAGCTGGGCCAGGAGCAATGCTAAGGAAATCCTGCTGGGCAAGCCATTGATGGGGTCTGAACTGGCAGAGACTGATCAAGAGAGAGGTCTTGGAGTTGTAGTAGATAACTCACTGAAAATGTCAAGACAGTGTGTGACCGCAATAAAAAAGGCTGGTGCACCTGACAGACAGCCGCCTGTCAGGTGTAGGGACAGCATGTTTGAAACCATTAGGGAGGCTGGACCAGCAGCACTGGTGCACCTCACAGGTGGTTCCTGAATTCCTCAACTGTCATTAGCTCTTTGCAGTCTCCTGTAACTGTAACTCCTGTACCTCAGAACATTGAGCTCTGCAGCTGACCAATCAGAGAGTGGGAAGTGCAAGGAGGCAGCAGCCTGGCAGCCACATAGGAAACAATGGGGGAGCACATTTTACCCCTTTTGACCCCCTTAGGAGTCGAATTTCTAAAAATCCCTTCTTAGTGAGCATCTACATCATCGTAGGAGTGCTCTTCCCCGAATTTTGTGTTTCTAGGTCCAGGGGTTCGACCTGGATGTTGATTTTACGGTGAGTGGACTTTCTTTTATATAGATAGATAACAAATAAAGAAAGGAAGCAATGCTTAGAAAGGCTTAAAAAGAAAGTGATCAAAAAGACAATCATAAGGTAACAACATTTCAGGCACTGCAGTGCAAAAAAGGTAAGGGAGAGATGCTAAGTACAGAAGAAACCCATAAGAAAGTGTGTTACATACAAATCAGGGAATTAAGAAAGATGTTAAAGACCAGTGGTATTACAACCTGAGATACCAGAGGAGGAAAAGGAGATTACTTCTTATCCATATGGTGGTACAGTAAACTATGAAACATTTTTGGAAAGCAGGGACAGAAATAGAGCAGCTAGTAATTTATACCACAAATAGTTCTCTTATATGACAAAGAAGCTGTCGGCAAGGGGCAGTGGTAAACAGGACACTAGTAGGAATGCATTTAATCAGGGGTCATTTCGTAGAAATAGAGCTAGGGGAACTCATTAGCATAACTCATTAGCATATGCCACACCCCCTGACATCAGGGGCCCGGCAGTGGACCTGCAAGGCCAGCGGGAGTGCAAGGAAGCCCCGCCAAGGCCCTCCCTGGCCCCAGGCAGGCAGGGGTGGGGAGAGGTGGGGAGGAAGCAACTTACCCTCCCTCTTCTCCTGCCTCCTCCTGGCTGAATGAGGGCTGGAAGCGGGGCGGCTGGAAGCAGGGGGCGGGGCTTCGTCATGTGCCCCGCCCCCCGCACCTCACCCGGGGGAACTGCGTTCCCCCGCGTTCCCCCCCGAAATGACCTCTGCATTTAATAACAGCTAAAACATTTATAACAAAGCAGTGAACAAGGAGTTGTAACAATCTTCTGAAAAATATTTCTGAAAAGTCTGACATGAAATATTAATGTTTAAAATTAAGGGGCTTGTGTGTAAATATTCTGGGAAATGTTAGATATTAAAACTTTTCTCTATTAAAGCTTTTTATTCAATGGGGCATACACAACAAACTTCACCAATATTATGAGAATACAGATCTAAGGAAACAGAACACACACACAAATATATATATTATATAATATATATAATATATATATATATAGATATGTTTATATTATATATGTGCATTTTAAATGCTTATACATTTTTTGAAAAATCAAAACCAAGGCATCCAAGATTAGGCATGCCCACTAGTCTGAGCAATTAGGAGACTAGCTCTTTCCACATCTTGTCCCTCTTAAGCATTTGCCTTGCACTGCTCTCAGTGGCACAGAGGATGAAAGAAAGAAGTAATTAGAGAGCTCAGATATACAGTATTGCACACATCAGCATGGTTCCAACCATGTACACAGAAGACAAATTAAAAAACAAAGGTACACTGAACCACTGGAAAAAGTAATGAGATGCTTCGTGAGTTAAGGTCACTCAAAGAGAACCCCAGAAGGTTAGAGATGAATAATAGTCCTCTGTTTGCATAATACATTCTGACTGATGGTATTCATACTAATCACACATTAGCTAGCCTTTTTAAAACACAGTTTAATCAGGACAATGTTTCCACTTCTATTAGGACAGCAATTAGAAAACTGAATTTAAAAAAACATATTGATTGCTGAATGATTTTTCATTTTAAATAAAATTACAGTTATATTTCTCCCTTCCCTACATTCTTCAATTGCATTCTTCACTATTTTGTTTCTTCCCCAAAAGCCCCATATCCTCTCCTTCCCAGCCACCAATCAACCCACCTTTATCTGTCCCCCAGTCTCGAGATTTCCCTTCTTTCCATCTCTGGCTGCCTGTATGTAGGAAATCTATGGCACAGTTCTGCAGTGCCAGCCACTGGACTCATCTACATGGTAGAGAAGATTAAAGGACTTGAGGGGGAAGCTCAGTTTCCCCTGTATCTCTCACCCCACACTATTT